GTCTGATGGATTCTAATCCCCCATTTTCCAGTCCGTCCAATCAAACACACCCTAAGATTCTTATATGCAACAAGGTAGATCTTACACCACATAATTTTTTCCAGTCAAAAGTGGAACGAATGGTGACAGAGTAACTCTTGCCTACCCAAAAAAAATATTTAAAATTTGAAATATGTAAACTAGATCCATTTGGGTATTAGTTCACACCCCCCATCAAAGTTTGAATCTACAGTCATACACTTTTACTTTTTGAATGCATCTGGCTTATTTTTTTCTTGGGTACAAAACATTTTTGACCCAAAAAAATTAAAATAATAAAAAAAATAGTAACTTGCATGAGTTGCATCAAACATAACTTGCCTAAGCATAACTTGCATAGCGTTTCCCACTACTGGCAGTGGATTCAGGGAAGAAAAGACTTTCCCTGCATTAGTATTGAACAGATTGACCCCATTCGCCGTGCTTAATTACTCTTGTGGTTTGTGGAGGAACAAGCTCGTGTCTACATAGAGAACTAACAATGTTGTAGTCGTCACAAATAGGCAATGCCAGCATTGTCTGCGAATGGCCTCCTGCAGAGCTACCTTTCATTGTAAAGTATGGTTGGCGAGTCCCATAGATTCGGCAACTTCTCTAGAGGAAAAGAATCTGCTTGTTCCTACTCATTGCACAGAACATGCATCAGTAGACTGTAAATAGTAGATATTCACGAATCCAAGTTTCAGTAAAAAAAGGAAAAAAAAAAAGCTGCCTCTCGTCTGAATTAGAGGATTTGAAAACAGGCTTAATCAATAGCTAGAACGACAATAATCACAACAACAAAATGCTTAGGCACTCATTGGTTAACTTGGAAATGAAAATGGTCCACATTCATCGTTGTCGTTGTTTAAAATACGAACACCATAGAGGACACTTGATACTTAAGTTTAAACCTCCATTCCGAACATACATTCAAAAGAGAGCACGACAAATTTGCCTCTTAGAAGTCTTCATTACCACCGTCTTTCAAGACCGACTGTCCCTCTGTATCTGAGAACCTAATATATGCGTCTGTGGTGCATGCGGCATGCACATTTCTCTTTGTTATACATTCTGTACATCTACGGTTATTTTTTGTTTAACAAAATGGCCATCATGCTCATGATCAATAAAGTGTTCTCCATGGTAGTTTTCAATAGATAGACCTATCATTAATGCTAACAAATATAGTATTTATCTACTATTGAAAAAAAAAAAAAAAAAAAAACAGAATTTGCTGGTAGCAACATATTCATACTTGCAGACGATGTAGCAGATACATCAAGAAAAGATGCACAAATACCTGTGGATGACTCAGCATGGTCATTACGCAATTCAAAGCACTATTAACAATTTTTAACAAGTAGACTCTTTCATCAAAACAGGAAATCCCAAAAACTAAAAAATAAAATAATTGGTGATATATATTCTCACCAAATAGAAAAGCAGCAGGATTCGAGCAATTGGATATCGCCACAGAAATCGTGTGGCCCTGACAGCCCCAGAATCTAGAAGTTTTGCTCCATTCTGCAACTGCATCAGACAAGTTTAACAGAATGAGAAAAGAAACATAGGTGGCAAAACTGTAACGAAAGAAAAAAGCAGTGCTGACCTGCATTAATATAATGTGCTTGTTTAATTTTGTATCCAAACAATCACTGTAAAACCCAAGTTGTGTGTAGGATTATTTTATTGGATAGATTAGTAATTAAATTAATTTATATGGGTCATTTATTAATATCAAAGAATTAGTTATGAGATGGCATTATATTTCCTATTACTTAGATGGGTAATTTTGTAACTTTGTGAAATTAGGTTAATATGCCCACCTATTGTGGCTTTAAGTCTTGGAAAACAAACAAAACAGAGGCTATGAATTGCTCCATAGGCGGCTAGGGTTTGAGAAGGTAAAAGAAAAAAGAAAAGAAAAAGAGAAGAGAGGTTCAAGTGAGGCTACAATAGGGATTGAAGTTGGTGATTTTGGGACACCCATTGGTTAAGGTAAAATCTGTCTTTACTGTTAATTATTAAGTTTATGTTGAGGAATTTAACAATCAATGCATTAAGGAGATTTGGAAGATCTATAGGTGCCTACTTAGGTTTTGAGAATTGGGTGCAATGTGTAAGTGTAAGTTTGGGTGGGTAATAGAAACAATGGAGTTTTGTATCATGGGTAAAGGTGTGTTTGGCTATAAAGTTGGGTTGAATGGTTTGATCTCTTGGATATTAAAGTAATACATTAATCTAATATAGTGGTGCTTTTGTGGGTGTTTGTAACATGTAAAAAATATTAATTTATTTGAGGTTTTATTTATTAGGTTTGTGTGATTGAAGTGGTGAAATTGGGTGTTTGGAGTTGGTGTTGGAGTGTTATTTCTAAGCGTTTGAGGTAAGTAACCCTCTATCACTGTTGGTTCATTTTTATTCCTATCGAATCGTTTAAAATCATAAATATTTATTTATATCCTTCATGTTCTCTTAAAATAAAATATGGGTCAAGTATAAAACAACATCGAATATTATTATGAAAATTATTTGAATATTTGATGAAACTATTTTGAAAATTGTACTAAACATTTATTCTAAAAATATCGAATGTTTTATTTGAAAGTTGTGTATTGTTTGAATTTTGAACATCACTCTAGTCTGACTATGATTTGGACCCTAGCCAATGGGGGTTATTTATTGGCACAGAAACTAGTTTCTTTTGGGGCTTTACCACCGGCCTATGTGTGGTTCTGGGCCTTGTCACGGGCTAAGTGACCGTAGTCACCAAGACATGGGTTTTGTGAATTGCATCATTGAACCATTTCAATATCGAACTATCAATTTTGAACAACGAAATTTCATCGAATTACCTCATTGTCTTTTCAATTAAAATGTATTGCTACACTGTTTATTTTCAAATACGAAACCATCTTACAAAATAATTGTTCATTTATTGAATGGTAGCAAAAAATATATTTATTGGTTATCGACTATTTTTTTTTGTATACTTGATCTAGCTAATAGTGATGGTTGGTTATTTACTGGGCTGTCTAGCTTACCCTTATTTTATTTTTCAGATTCTGAGGAGTAGAGCTGTGCAGGATTTTTACTTGTGGGAGTGCCGAGAGTAGGACTATGATTTAAGTATTTGGACCATTATTATTATTATTATTTTTATTAGTGGACTTGGTGGACAATTTCATATGATAAGAATTATCTATTTGTATGGTTTTTAGCATTATGATATTTAAGGATTTAATTTGAGTATTTTACATTGTTGGTTATGCGTTGGATTCTTAGCCTTGCATGCTCACTTAAATGAGTGTGCGGCGTTATCACGGAGCTTGGGGCGTGACAATTTTATGGTATCAGAGCCAGGTTGTAATTTTAAAAGTTGGTATAGAATAGTGGTGAGATTGGGTAGATGTAGGATTGAGAACGCTTATAATTTGGTAAAATGTTAATTTTATTTACGTGTTATAGGGACTTTAGAATAGAATAAGATGAGGTTTTATTATTGATGCATATAGGTTGCAATGGAACATGAGGAGACATTGGCAAATATGGCTAGGAATACACGCTAGGGTCAAACGAATCGACGGACTGGTAATAACAATCGGCGAGGGAATGTGACTAATATTGGTAGTGGTTCTCAAGCAGTCGAAGGAAATCAGGGGCAAGAGTTGAAGGAACAATTATAAGAGTTACTAGATAAGGGCTTTATTAGGCCTAGTGTTTCTCCTTGGGGTGTGCCCATTTTATTTGTGAAAAAGAAGGATGGTAGTTTTCGCCTTTGCATTGATTATCCAGAGTTAAACAAGGTGACAATTCAAAATAAATATCCTTTGCCTAGGATAAATGACCTATTTGATCAATTGCAAGGAGCATAAGTCTTTTCTAAGATTGACCTTCATTCTAGATATCATCAGTTGAAGGTTAAAGTGGAAGATATACCTAAGACAGCCATCCGAACTAGGTATGGGCATTATAAATTTTTAGTGATGTCGTTTGGGTTAACCAATACGCCTGCAGCTTTTATGGATTTAATGAACAGAGTATTTAAACCATTCTTAGATCAATTTGTGGTAGTTTTTATTGATGAAATTCTTGTGTACTCAAAGAGTAAATAGCAGCACGAAGAACATCTGAGAATAGTGTTGCAGTTACTAAGGGAGAAGAAATTATTTGCTAAATTAAAGAAGTGTGAATTTTGGCTGGAGAGTGTATCATTTTTTGGTCATGTGATATCTAAAGATGGGGTGTCTGTTGACCCCAAGAAAGTAGAGGCGGTGGTAGAGTGGAATAGGCCTACTAGTGTCACTAAAATTCGTAGCTTCTTGGGTTTAGCAAGATATTATAGAAGGTTTGTTAAGGGATTTTCTCGAATTTCTATGCCTTTGACTCGTTTAACACAAAAAGGGGTTAAATTTGAATGGTCTGATGATTGTGAGAAGAGTTTCCAGGATCTAAAAAGCCGATTGGTGTCTTCTCTAGTACTTATAGTTCTGTCCGGAGATAAAGGTTTTACCATCTATAGTGATGCATCGAAGATGGGTTTGGGTTGTGTCCTGATGCAAAATGATAAGGTAGTGGCATATGCGTCTAGGCAATTGAAGCCATATGAGCAGAATTATTCTACGCATGATTTGGAGTTGGCTGCAGTGGTGTTTGCATTGAAAATCTGGAGGCACTACCTGTATGGGGTGAAATGTGAGATATTCACCTATTAAAGGACTATGATTTGACTATCAATTATCATCCAAGAAAAGCCAATGCAGTGGCTGATGCCTTGAGTAGAAAGACCCTGAGTAATTTGGCTACCTTGATCACTGACCAAAAGAATATCTTGGAGGACTTGCAAAGGTTGAATATCAAGATTAGATGGCATAACCATGGAGTGCAGTTGGCAAACCTTAGAGTTCAACCCACATTGATTGATAGAATTAAAGATGCTCAGGGAAAAGATCCTCAGTTGTAAAAAACTTAAGGCTGAAATGGAAATAGGGCTACAGATGGAATTTTGTATGCATAAAGATGGAACCTTGAGATTTGGAGAGAGGTTGTGTGTGCCTAATGATTTAGAGCTCAAGAGAGAAATCCTAAGAAAAGCTCACAGTTTAGGGTATACTGTACATCCAGGGAGCACTAAAATGTATAAAGACTTGAAGATGAACTTTTGGTGGAATAATATGAAGAGGGAAATTGCTCAGTATGTTGCTCAAGGTTTGGTATGTCAACAGGTGAAAGTTGAACATCAGAGACCTACAGGTAAGTTACAACCTCTTCCTATTCCCAAGTAGAAGTGGGAATATATTACCATGGATTTTGTGATGGGGTTGCCTAGGACCTAAGGTGGTAACAATGCTATTTGGGTTATTGTTAATCAATTGACCAAATCCGCTCACTTTCTAGCTTTTATGGTAGGGTTCTCCTTAGAGAGGTTTGCAAAATTGTATATCAAGGAGATTGTGAAGTTGTATGGTATTCCAGTGACCATAGTGTCTGATAAAGATAGCAGATTTGTATCTATGTTTTGGAGGAGTTTGCATACAGCTTTGGATACTAGTTTGAATTTTAGCATGACCTTTCATCCTCAAAGTGATGGACAGTCAGAGAGAACTATTCAAACCTTGGAAGACATGTTGAGGGCTTGTGTTATCGATCTTGGAGGCTTTTGGGATGAGCATTTGGCCTTAGTGGAATTCTCTTATAATAACAGTTATCATGCGAGCATTCAGATGGCACCATATGAGGCTTTATATGGACGAAAGTGTAGATCACCTATTTGTTGGGATGATGTCGGTGAAAGGAAGTTGTTAGGGCCTAAGATTGTGCAACAAACAGTGGACAAGATCAATCTTATTAGAGAGCAACTTCGCACTGCACAGAGTAGACAGAAAAGTTATGCAGACAACAGGAGACGCGATTTGGTGTTTGGGGTTGGAGACCATGTGTTCCTTAATGTGTCTCCTATGAAAAGAGTAATGAGGTTTGGTGTTCGTGGTAAATTGAGTCCTAGATTTATTGGACCATTTGAGGTTTTAGATCGAATTGGAGAGGTAGCTTACAGACTTACGCTACCACCTTCACTAGTTGGAGTTCATAATGTCTTCCATGTTTTGATGTTGAGGAAGTATATACCGAATCCCAATCATGTGATTGATTATGCACCGTTGTAGTTTAAGGAGGATTTGACCTATGAAGAACACCTTGTAAGAATTGTTGATAAGAAGGAGCAGGTTTTGAGGCGTCGAGTCATCCACTATGTTAAGGTTCAATGGAGTAATCACTCGGAAAGAGAAGCTACTTGGGAACTTGAGGATGAAATGAGACAAAAGTATAAACAACTTCTTGAGACTACAGGTATGTCAAATTTCGAGGACAAAATTTCTTTTAAGTGGGGAAGAATATAAAATCCAAATTTTTATGTGTAGAATTATTTTTGGTTAAAGTTGTAATTAAATTAATTTATATGGGTCATTTATTAATATCAAAGAATTAGTTATGAGATGGCATTATATTTCCTATTACTTAGATGGGTAATTTTGTAACTTTGTGAAATTAGGTTAATATGCCCACCTATTGTGGCTTTAAGTCTTGGAAAACAAACAAAACAGAGGCTATGAATTGCTCCATAGGCGGCTAGGGTTTGAGAAGGTAAAAGAAAAAAGAAAAGAAAAAGAGAAGAGAGGTTCAAGTGAGGCTAAGGGTTTGGAAGAGTTAAAGGTGAA